AGTTGGTCCGGGTCAGAGTCCAATTGACGCTTTCACATCAACGCAAACGAACCGAGCTAACCACTTCTGGTTCGAATGGACCGTTTGGTGCGCACCAAATACTGTCGGTGTGAAAGCACCTAATACAGGTCAAGGCTCACTGATGAGCATCTTCAATCTATCCTGAGGATCTGCTTCCTCCTGCAAGCCAAATATCTCTCAGCTGTACAAGATGAAGCGTAGCCAGGTTTCAACCAGCAAGAAGTAGGCAAAAGAAGAAGAGTAGACGCATTAGTTTAAACTTACGTTCTGAAAACATTTTCATGTTCTGAACTGTTATTAAAGATTAAGAAAGTGTGTTGCGTGTTGTTCTTTCTCTCTCCTTTTTTCCCGTGCAACCGCTATTTATCAAATACTCAATGCGGCCCAGCCTCACTCAGACTTTCTCTAATGTGGCCCCCAGGTAATTTGAGTTTGAGACCCCTGCACTAGACGGTTCGCAAAAACCCCGGAAGTGCAAGTTCAGGCACCAGCCAATCAGCAAAGTGCCAGACATTCTGTGTTGGCAACGATTCCCAAGATCGAGGATTTAAAGCCAGAACAAAAAGAATGTTTGGTGAATTTTATCAAGGGGAAAGACATTATTGGCCTTCTTCCTCCGGGATTTGGGAAAAACTTAATATACCGGTTAGCCCCGTTAGCGGCGCATTACATACATAACCAAATAGCAGCCATTGGTTAAATTAAAAAAGTACCGGCCTACCATCGAGCAAACGAATCCTAATGCTGCGAGGTTAGAGAATTTCCACGAAGTGAAATCTGCTGATGAATCAGGCTAATACAGATACATTTTTTGCTCAAAAATCTCTTGTTCTTACTGTACATGAGCTCTCCGCAGATCTTCACCTGTTGGAGATGGCAAGTTTAATGCTATACGGTGGAACATGCAAGCAAAGCCATAACATCTCCTTGGAAAAGAAGAAAAGTGATAGCAGTGCACAGTAAATCAGTTCTTCATATTTCACATTATGACACACAATATCACTTGGAAGTACATACAGTGGAAATCCAGTATTACGGTGCACTAGCACGACTGAAACCCTCTATGTCAATATGATGGAATACCTTGTACATCATATTCCTGGTGGCCTAGCAAATCCACCCCTGATATTGACCCTGTTCTTTTGAGACATCATCTTTTCACAGGTCTGTTTCCACCAGCTGCAAACAGGGTCTCAGGCTGGACTATGATCTGTACTAGTCCCTACAAATGTTATATTTTCACTAAGAAAATAATTTATTCTGCACAGCTCCCTTGGATTCCTCCTGGAATAGCTGTCAGATGAAATGCCTTGTGGTGAGACAGTGGCTACATCAATCACTAGTGTACTTTTATCTTGTGCCAACCTGTTTTTGAACAAGCTGGGTTACCTGAGTCAACCCAGGCTTACTTAAATGGAAAATCTCACACAAGCTAATGTACCAATTACTGTTTGTGGTGGATCTGTAATAGCTGGAAGTATATTTTTATATTTCAGTGGAGTGAGAACTAAGGCAATACATGAGTGAAGGGAGGCTTTTAATACTTTTTATGAGAGGTGGATTTTGATAGATAAAGGCAGGTATGCATGTAATAAGCTCACAATTGCTAATAAAAAAGTCAATAAATAGAATAAATAGAGATAAGTATGCAGGTGTTTTGAGGTAAGAAAGACTGTTATATAAAATCTGCAATGTGAATGTAAAGTCCTTCGAACATTTTATATAATTCTGTGTTTTCTTGATTGTGTTGGTTTCTTTTTAAGCAAGCTACAAAAACAAAATGTTTTTATGTTTTATGTTTAGATGTTTTATGTCTGGATACAAAAGTGGAATCTCTGACTATGAGATGTCTTCATAGTGGCATTTTACTGCAATTGGTAGATTTTCATTTACACGTTTTTGACTACATGACCCTTTTCAACGCTACATGGAGTCTTAAATTTTTGAATAATTTGGAATATAGTTTAATAATTTATAATAATAATAATAAAGTACAGAGAAGAGGGCAGAGATTAGCCTGAGTCATCAGCCGGTTTCACTTTGTGGAAACTGACCTCGCAACATTAGGGTTAGTTTTTAACCAATTGCTGTTATTTGGTTGTGATGTATGTAATGTGCTAGAGCACTCAGTGATGTCCAAGTAATTGCCGGCACAACAGCAAACAAAGTTGATTGACCAGTGTGTGGTCTACAACTTCTGGTGTTCTTGCAAGCCATCTAGTGTATTCCGATTCCTGACCTAGTCGCTGGAGAGAAATCAAATTGAGAGGAGGCACTAGGTGGCCCCAGTCTGACTAGGCAGAGATAGGGGGTTCATGAAAACAGATTTTCTGGGCGCTCCAGCCTCAAATGCCAGAGTACTCAAACATGTATAAATCAATAAAAAACAACTCTGACTAAACTAATGATCAAACACCTTATAACATGGTTAAAAGCTCATAAAGGTCAATTTCACATAATACCATATGTCTCCTTTAAAGAGGGGCTATTACACTAACACATATTTAGATCATCATGTTACATTTTATTGTTTTGAAAATACTATATTTGCTGAAAACTGCAGTAAGTCACTTCACCATCAGAGAGCTACCACAACACAATCAGCATGCATTCCATTACTGAAACTACTGCCTATCACAGTTGTATTGTATGGTATCTGGTCTTGTGTATTCATGAAAATTGTCTGTGCGGGAACATGGATTGTGGGCTCATCTTGCTTACCATAAGGAGGCATTAAATTGTGCCCAGGAGAAATTGCAAGATTGCTTGAAGATGCATGGATGATATATTTAAAAAATCACTTAGGGCAAACTTTGTTTTTGATGAGAGAACAACATTCTAACATGGCAGAAAGTTCTAAAAAGTCGATTGTGCATTATACCCTCTCTTTACGAAAAACTGAAAATGGCGCATACTTTTTCTTTTGGCCTCACAAGACCAAATCTTACAAGGACTGTATTTATATTTATAAGTTAGCTTTCCAGTCCATAGCCTTATTGCATCTTGTTGAATTTGATTGTAACTCCTCCTGACATGATTTGAGTGGCGCACAATGGGATTACAGCAGTGGGACATAAAGTAAACCCTTCTATGATTAAGTTAAATACATCCGAACAGAGCTCCGGGACGTCTGGCCTAGTTCGCCCATCACATAAAGAATGGTTTTAATCCAAGGCAACATGGCCGACAGGGAAATGGGAAGACAGCGTTGTTTTTAGACGCCTCCAAGGACGGCTATCCCACAGAGCGCCTCTCAATCCTCTCTTCAAGGCTTGACGGATGACACCAGCGCTACAAAGTGATAGGCTATTATTTCACTTTGCATGGGATAAATGGCAATGCGGGTTCCTACCTGTCTTCTGCCCTTCTGCGCTCAGTTCTATCTTCGTATAGCCTCCCCATAGCTGCATGCAATCACACAGCTGCAAGGCAAGACAAATAGGAGGGCTGAGGCATCACTATCTGTTGATTTCACATGTTAGATGTGCCCCCTGGCTGCATCTGTAGTTGATGGAGATAGAGCGTAAGCCTTTGAGCTAACCTTTTTGTGATCAACGTGCCATGTTGGGATGATGCTATAACACACTGTGGCTGTTATTTGATTTATTTTTTACACAATACAGCTCTATGTAGACAGTGATTACAACTTTATGACAAAAATACATCTTGATACTTGTCTTCCTTTCATCTTTCAGTGCGGGCGATTATATACTGGACAAGATTGTGCGTGTAATACCAGTTTACGTGAAAAAGTGTGAGTCGAGTGAGTAATGTGTTACTCTCTGGTGCAAAATATATTCATTCTCATTTATTAAGGTTAAGTTATACTTTATTGGCCCCCATTTGTCCTCTTCTGCCTTTGAGCAATTATACATTAAACAACATTATAACATAGATCAGAAAACCCATGACCCATGACAAGAAAAGTCGGCTATTCCACCACTGTCATATTCTTGTGAAACACAACATTTTAAGTTTTGAAAACCTGATAATGTATGCAAATGTTTGTCTGCTGTTTAAGATCATTCATCATACTGCTGCTGCTCCTCTGAGCTCTGAAACCACCACCTCCCGAGCCATTTGATCCACCATACGTGGCAAGTGCAGGATCCACAAACGTAGAACAGCATTTGGAAAGTCAGCCTTTTCATGTGCGGCCGTCCGTCAGTGGAACATGTCACCAACATAGCTCATCACATGTACAAAGTATGGCACTTTCTCACGCCTCGCGAAACAGTAGCTCCTCTCAAACCAAAGCTGTGCACCGATGAGTGTCTGATGAGTGAAGAGAAAACGATGTTCTGGAGTGAATGAACTGAATGATGATTTTGATAAGGATGATGTTTTGAGATGAGAGAACTGGGTGTGAATGAAGATACAGAATAGTTATGATGTTCCAATCATTATAAAAACATTCTCTTTGTATGTTTGATTTTATGAACTATAACATCAATCCTGCCCAGGGACGACAGGTGGAATTGAGCACAGGCGCTACAAGCTGGTACAGTGCATCTCTCCTCTTAAGGTTAATGTAGACTGTGCACTGTTCCTGTTTCATTAAAAAAATAAACTAAACTAAAGAATCTAACATAGGACCTTCAAATGCTGCTGAGGCAAATAGTCAGGAACTATGGGCAGCTGCTGTACAATGCGGCAAGAACACATCTCCTTGGTCAGGACTGACTTAGCTGGAGGCTTTTGTCTATTGAGCATGTTTTAGGCTGCTGGGGAAAGCTAGTTGTGCAACTTTAACCTAAGATTTTTGTCTTCCATTACTTTTGCTTTTACATTTAACATAAATGTGAATGCTTTGCTTTGTAATCAAATGCCTATCATCATACTCCACATTCTGGTCTGTAGGTTTTTGGTATTAATATAGTTAGTAATATACATATGTACATTATCAAAACTTATCACTTAAATTCAGTTGATTTTGGTATAGGTTTATGTATTAAGTATTTTTGTCTTTTTCTTTACAGACCAGCAGTATTCATGGTGTCCCGGGCCATACTTCGATGAGGACAGCGGCTCCCCTCCTCCCAGGAACATGAAGGGTCTCTCTGGTAGTCGTCATGCCCAGCTCCAGCTCCAGCTCAGCTCGCCCACGCCCCACACCTGCGGCCTGGCTGACTGTGACCACTCCCTGGACCACCACCTGCACCATGGCGACTCCCGGCCCCCGTCCTACCTCCTCAGCCCCACCGAGAGCTGCCCTCTGGATGGACACCGCCGCTGTTCCCCTCGGAGCTCCATCCACTCCGACTGCATGGTGATGCCAGTGTCCATGTCGGCCACCGACCACTCCATTTCAAGTAGCACTTTTCCCAGAATGCACTATGGCAGCACTACGCGGGACGGCACCAGTAACAACAGGGATTCTAGAGATGAAACCGGATCGACGCACGGGGGCAGCGGCAAAATGAACCGAATCCCTGCAAACCTTCTAGATCAGTTTGAAAAGCAGATGCCTCTACACCGTGACGGCTTCCACACTTTGCAGTACCAACGCACCTCGACCACCACCACCACCACGGAGCAGCGCAACGAAAGCCCGGGGAGAATACGGCATTTGGTCCATTCTGTCCAAAAGCTTTTTACCAAATCTCATTCGCTGGAAGGCTCCTCCAAAATGAATGGCACCAAAAGTGACTCGCACCGGGACGGATCGCATCACCACCATCACCACCACCACAAACACAGCAAACGCAGCAAAAGTAAAGAACGCAAGTCAGAAGGTAGTGGAAAGCAGAGGTCAGGGGGCTGGTGGAGCTCAGATGATAACTTAGATAGCGATAGCACCTATAGGACACCCAGTATAATGTCTCGGCACCACGTGGACCACATCACCCACTGCTACCCTGACTCTGTGCACGGACATCTGGCAGGAGACATGTCTCTGAAGATGTCCAAAAGTAACAATGATGTGAAGTGTTCTGCTTGTGAGAGTATAAACATGGCGCCGGAGGGGAAGTTTATGAAAAGGAGCTCCTGGTCCACACTGACGGTCAGCCAAGCCAAGGAGGCCTACAGGAAGTCCTCGCTCAACCTGGAGAAGCCCATGACGCCCACGGACCTCAAGCCCAACCTCCGGCCCTGTCACTATCTACAGGTAAGGACAGGTTTGCTTCTTGATTAGGTACATTGTGCATATTTTAGCAGCTTTAGCTAATCAAGATAGATTGATAGAGAGAATAAACAGATCCTAGGAGCTTGCTAACATTCACCATTGCACTATTGTAAAGTAAATAAAATGGCCAGATAGCTAAGCAAATCTGTATTGGTCTAATCCAGTAATACTCACTTTTTTTTTTTTTTCACAAGAGCCACATTGGAAGAGCAAAAACACTTATACCCTATATACAACAACATACCAAGTCACATTTGCAAACGTACATAAATTGAACATCCCAAAAAAATGAACACAGCCAATACATTTTCAATTAAAACCAGATTCACCTTAATACTGGGATGAGCAGAAGCTGGCATGCATGTCCTTCGCTTTCTTCATAGATAGTAGCTTTATATATATAGTAAATTTTCTTAATCGCGCTTTGGGAGAATTAACAACCAATTTTCGATTAATCATTAACATTTTTATATTAAAATTATCATCATCATTAGTACTATTGCTAATCTGCATAAATAAACTCAACTTTACAACATATAAACCATAACCATGATAGAGCAACATCGTTTGAGATCATAATTTGTTTAATGCAGCTTTGTGCTCATTTGTTTACGTTTTACAGAAACTAAACTTAACACCACATGGCTCATTTGCATAAAGTGTAAGCCTGATAAAAACAGCTCTTTCCTTGATGAGGTTTAGATTCTGTCGTACTAAAGGACATGAATCTGTGAAATATGAGTGTTTTTTTTTCTGTGACAGAGGGATGCTGATGATGATGGTGAGTCTGTTTTGTGTGTGTCGCGTTAGAGTTGGTTCATGTTTTCAGAGATCAGACATGTGCAGGTCATACGGGTGCAGATTGTACGTGTGCAGGTTTAGAGCAGCTCTTTATTTAACATCATTTCACACACTTTATTTATCTTGGTCACTTTATTTAGATGATGTTAATCAAGAGCATGGGCTACTTTTTAAAATGCGACTCAGGTAATGGGTCGGGCACAATATTTAAAAATATTTTTTTGCGGATGGAGTTGTGGGTGGGTTAGTTGAAAATGTAATTCGGGTACAGGTTGTTTATGCATGGACGCATCACTGCTTGCAGGTGTCATGGCACCCCCTTTAGGAAACACCATTAATTAAGCCTTGATTTATGTGTAGTGTAATGCAGATGTTGGTGTTGCAGTGTTCACTATATATTTATCTATCCCCTTAAACACTCAAAACTTTAAATTATTACATGGTATGGGGTTTTGAAAGCATTACATATTTTAAAGTACTGTAAGTTTTTAAAATGTCTAATTCATGGTGGAAAAGTTTGCCCCCCATTTCCCCCTCTGAGTAAGAAGAGCATTGGTTCGATACACTTTTAATTTCTTGAGTTGGAGTCTGCAAATTGTCTTGAGGTTGTCTAGCTTCCTCTCTCCACCTAAAGACACGCAATTATAGATGAATTGGTCATCATCTAAATTGCCCGTAATGAATGAAAAAGTGAGATGGTTTCCTGCCCAAGTGAGACTATCCACTTTCAACCCAAAGAAGTGTGTATTTGCTCTTATTCCCACTATATTTAAGGAATGTGGTGTAATGTAAGATAGTTAATGATGCTCTCAGGGCTCTATTGACTTCCGTTGACATAGAGAGGGCTGAAATAGTTTCTTCACAAGTGACAAATTAAATACATATATGGTAAAAGGTATGCTCCCTGGAATCTTCAGCAGTATGATATTAAAAGGCTCTAACTTACATGTATTAAATTTCAGATGGTTTTATTGCTCAAAAATGCTCAGAAAAACAGATCTTGGTCTAGTTTGGTCTCCATGAAGATAGAAAGGTTTAATACCATACTGTGAAAACTTCAAGACAAAGTAATAACATCTCCACGGAGAAAACCATTTAATAGACCCTCCACCAGAAAAGTTATTCAAACTAAATGTCCCCACAGAAGGAATTCATGTTTTTCAAGCTGTTTTTCCTAGCAATGAAAACACCTGTAATCTAATAAACGCAAGATAGATACGTCTAATACCATGCAGTGGAACATCTCCATGGAAACAAGCAGGTAGCAGACTCCCATCAGAGAAGTTACATAGTGCTCTTTTAATTAAATGAATCATTACAGTTTAAAATCCCACAATCCCTGCAGCAATACCAAAATGCATTGTACCCATAGCAAGTTTCATTGATAGACAAGACAAAAGCCTGCTCATCTCAGTTGGAAACATGATTGATTTTCAAAGAACTATTTTGTTTGTCACCACTCGGCTTCTGACAATGTGATCCCTCCCGTCGCTCAACATGCAACAAACAGCACCAGAAACTATCACAGCAGGCCAAATCAATTAGCTCCATAAATGATCTGCGCCAGAGGGAGGGCGAGACTTGGCATCAAGACTTTAATAGACTTTATAAGAGTTTTGTTGATTCATTTCACCTTCATTTGGGCAGGTTTCAGAATGGGGTGAAGTTAGTTTGGGTTTGTCATTAGCGGTGCAATACACCCCAAAGAAATTTCTATTCCACAATTTTTTTTTAATCTTTAAGGGTTTCTAACATCTGCTGCAATGTAAGGATTATAGAAAGCACAGCTAAGGGTAAGATATATTTACTATTACTTTACTATGAATCACTTTTGCTAAGTAATAGGCCCGTCGGGAAAAAAAATTTTAAGCACGATATGCAGTATTGCTATAGATAGTATTAACCATTGTTTCCCAAAGACTGGGTCATAAACCTCAGGTGGGTCGCAAGAGATTTTTTTTTTGGGTCACCTTGTCACGATCTACATGTAGGTCTGCAATATACAGTTGAACTGATCTAATAAGCATTTCGTCAGAATATCCTGTCTTCAGTAGGGCCAGTATTTCTATGCTTATTCCTTTCACTACTACATATCTGTGTGAATTAGGATTTTCTGTGGTCACAAAAATGAAGACAAAGCACAGAAACAGACTGAATGCTGCGTCTGATATGCTGCTGCGCTCTCCTCCTGCACCCTGGACTGAACACACTACAAAAATGCAGACAGGCCCACCTAGCTCATTAGAAATGCTGAAATGTTAAGACATGTTTTATATCATTTCTAATCATTATGTAATTATTTTATTGACTATTTTGTTCCAATATTGCTGGTTCAATTGAATGTTGAAAATAAAAAGAAATGGGCTACATTTAATGTCCAAATAGGCGACTTATGGATCCTTTTATTGCTGCTTCAATGACTGTTTTTCATTGTTTAAAACTTGAGTAATACTAATAGTTCAGAGAGACACAATCACTCAACAATAAAATATCCTCATTAATATTTAATAATGGTCAAATCCATCGTTATTTTGTGATTTACTAATAATGTCTATTGACTTGAGTTGTGAAGGTTTGTGACTTTTAAAATACAAATTTGGGAAACACTGGTATATATTCTGATAAACAATAATATTGAAAATATGTTATGCCATTTTTAAATAGACAGTATCATTAAAAGGCCTGAGGAGCAACAAATAAATAGCAGAATGAACTAATAATTTCTCATAGAAGCCAAAGAATTCTCTACAACTCAGTTCTCATCATATTACAACAAAAATACCTTAAATCTCCACACTTTTATAAAGAATCTGTACACACGATAAATATTTAGCCACAAAATATATTGTTCCAGGTTTCATACATTGAACGGTAAGTTGATATAAACTTATACAAGACTTAAACAAGTTTTATTGAACCACAAGGGAAATTATTTGGCCGCAGTAGCTCACACATCACAATATAGTCCTGTATTTCTCACTGTTTGAGATGAGATACAGGTTTACTTTCATACCATACGCCATACAACTATACAGCGCACCCTTATGTAACAGATAACCCTATGTCTTGTCAATCATTATATCATCTTTGTACTCCCTAACAACCTCTTGTAACATGTTTTTATAATGACACAGTAATTATTGTCACAGATCTACTATGTAATTGCATTTACAGTTCATGCCTTTAACCTATTTGAAGCAGAACAAGAGAGGATATGCACAGGGAGAATATGCAGACTGCATCAGATTGCATTGTTGGATCCTGCTCTTTTGATTAGGTGCAGGGACACTAACCAGCGTGTACTCACCAGCGTGTACTCCTTGCCCCCTTCCCAGAACTTCAGTGCTATATTTAGACATAACTAATGACCAACGCAGACAAGAAGTGTGCACATCTATTAAGCTGTCCTGCATCATTTTACTAAGTGCATTTGCCTCAGTGAGTTCTGTTCCCATTGAGTCATTTAACTAAGGTACTGTCCCAGCCCTGGCACTACACAAACTCTTTCTAAAAATACCCTTGGCCGCTGCTTCCTGCCGCAGGGCTATATTTAGCTCGGCGTTATCAATCCTATCGGCACTGGGTGACACATCTCCCCTCCCCGGCGCAGAATCAATGCTCTGTCAGTGGGCCCCCAAGATGCATCAAGAGGGAGAGTCTGTGGATATATGGAGACCCTCCTGAGAAGAGAAGGAGGTACAGAGCTAAAGAATGACTGTTATTGTCTCCGTGATGCTTGTGTTGTTGCTCATCACCGGGGGCAACCAGGCGATGAAAGCAGTCAGAATCATCCTCTCATACCAAAGGGTCACATTGAGGAGTGAGTCGGTCCTGCTGTGGTCGGATTGGGTTTGGCCACAAGTGTCAGCTCAATAACAACATAAAGTGCACCCAGGGAGGCTATGTCAGATGTGTGGGATGTGTTTGTTCCACAGCAGATGGCTCCAAGAGGTGACACCAGCCTTGTCTGCGTCTCCTTTTGTGACACTGTCAAAAAGTGTTACATTCAAGAAGGAAGAAAATGGCCTTCATATGCATTTGCCACCAGAGATCTTATGAACAATGACACTTCATATTTTAAACATTTCACATTTCTATGTCTACAACTCCCAATGTCATTGGGTAAAACCCTGTTTTATATATCACAAAGCTAATTTAGATTATGCATTTTTTATATTTTA